TATTCCTAGTCCTAGAACGGATTTTACATAAAAATTATACAAATTTTTACCCTTAGTTTTATCCCCTTAAGAAATGAATTCCAAAAATCGTTCTAATTATTCAATTACGCTACATAATAAACCTCTGTGCAAATTCTCATATTCCTTGAACAGAATTTATTGTTCCAGAACGTCCAACCCCTCATTTCACACCCTTAGAGGGCGAATTTCCAAAAATTGCTTCTTAGTGCTAAATTACGTTACATAAGGAACGTCTGCAAAATTCATACTTCTAAAACCGATTTTAACAAATTTTTGTACAAATTTTCATCCCCTTATTTTTTAGGGGATGCATGCCTAAATTCGCTTCTAGGTACTCACTTTCATCATTTAAGGGACCTCTGAACAGAATTTCATACTCCTAGTCCTAGAACGGATTTTACATAAAAATTATACAAATTTTTCCCCTAGTTTTACCCCTTAAAGGAATGAATTCCAAAATCACTCTAATTATTCAATTACGCTACATAAGGAACCTCTGTGCAAATTTTCATATTCCTTCAACAGAATTGTTTCAGAACGTTCACCCTCATTTCACACCCTTAGAGGGCGAATTTCCAAAAAGTGCTACTTAGTGCTAAATTACGTTACATAAGGAACGTCTGTGCAGAATTTCATACTTCTAAAACCGATTGTAACAAACTTTTGTACAAATTTTCATCCCTTATTTCTAGGGGATGAATGTCAAAAATTAGCTTCTGGGTACTCACTTTCGTCACTTAAGGAAACTCTGTACAAAATTTCATACTCCTAGAACTAACATTTTTGTACAAAATTTCACCCCCAGTTTCACTACCCTTAGGCTATACATTTCCAAAAATCGCTTATCAATGTTCAAATGTGCCACATCTGTGCAAAAGTTCATACTCCTAGTAGGGTACAGATTTTTTTTGTATAATTACACCTTTATCTAATTACACCCCCTTATGGGTCGAATTTTTAAAAATTACTTAGTAGTACTCATCTTAGAGAACAATTAATATTCTCCGTATTTACTCCAATTTCCTAATACTCGCACAGATAATACATAATCATACTAGTTAATTTTTTATTGGAATAGAAGTAATTTTTTATTAGAAGGTACAAAAAAATAAAATCTAAAATTTTATTTTCATAGCTACGTTTTATTAGCCTTAGGATGCCTCATGTACTAACGAATACGAAATATATAATCAATACATATTTCTTTAAATATCGAGAAATAAAATATGTTTTGGCAACACCGTACGAAGAAATATCGCCGCGCGTAGTCCTCAAAATTTAAAATATTAGCATTTCAGGCTTCGATTATGTTCAAAAGCGCCACCGTATGACAAATCACTAAAGCTTCCACACGAGAGTTCTTAAACTATAATATTCTTTGGCTATAATCACAGATTATACAGATTATAAACTTTGTTTTTCTTTATTGTTTTTCGTGGTTCCAATTTTTGGAATCGGGCACTAGTTAGGTTACTAGTTTGCGCACATAGCACGCCCACTTATGGCCTCTAAAGTTGCGCACAGCGCCTGACCGGTACAGTTATTAGAGAGATATCGGAAAACCGAATAGCGTCATGCAGTATTTACGCGTACCTTATCATGGTTACGATATGGGCGAGTCAATTTTTAACGCAACACCCGCTAACAACGTTACCGCCTGACGTAATTTGCGGATCAATTGCGGTATTTGACAATCGCGGTATTTGAATTTCGCATATGGTTTATTTGACATTATAACTTGCGGTTCGTAAAGAAAATTTGACTCGAAATACCAAGTGTGTGGTATCAAATTATTCGTAAAAAAATGCTTTTTCCAAATATGCTAATGAGCCACCCTCGTTTCATTTGAAAAAATTGAGATATGATTAAAAATACGATTTGAGCATTTTCTAACTGGCCAGGACAAGACACTAAAAACATTAGACGATCAAATCTATTTTTCCAAGGCTCCCTGATTAAGAATTAGTGTTTTTAACATAGCCATGGCACTCTAGATTGTATTTTAAAATACGATTCTTTATTAAGCGAGAATGTCAAAAGTTGATATATGATATGTCATTCTATTCAGAATGTCATTTTTTATCGAATAAAATAAAAAAATACCGAGGGTGCTATTTAAAAATCGAAAGTTGTAGTCATTTCCAAAACAATTGAATACGTCAATCAATCCTAATTTATGTCATATACTAACATACCAAATCTCGTTTTTTTATCTGAAAAAATAAAAAAATTATAGGGGTGAGCCACTTTTGAGACGCACCCGGTATATACCTTATAAAAAATTACTATAGTTTACAATCATGAATGTAAATTAAAAATAAATATTTGGTACAAAATTACAACGTCTTGGGGATTAGTTGATTCCACTGTGTCGACGTTTAGAATCGCGATGCTTATCGCGATATAAGTTGAACGAAGTCGGTGGGGGTCTTGAAAACAGTATCTTTTTATTCTATAATGTAAATTCGTCCTTCTTGCTTGGCAATAAAGAACGAAAAAAATAAATAAATTTATGTGTAGGCACAGATTAAGAATAGACAGATGTATTACTTCTGCATCTTGCTGATAAATGCCGCTGTGACCTCGGACATTTAAAAGAATTATATGCAGCGTTGTCGGACTTCATTTTTTTTCTTTAAAGCATTGTTGCTTTTGTTTTCGAATATTTTCGTCCTTTGGCACTCAAAAATTTTACTTCGCTAATTAACTATACCATTATTTACATACTCTAATCCACTAATACAATAAAAATAAACACAAAAAGTTGCAGTCCAGAGAGATAAATCCACAACAAAATTTATATTTTCTGGCTTGTCAAACAAAATAAAAAACATGTGAAAAAAGTTGTTTTGTCGCTAAGCCGGGGTTTGTCTATAATTTCTAAAATCTTTACATACAGTTCATACCAAATAAAAGTCCCCCAGCGTTGACCACTTTTATATATTTACTTTTAAACAAAATATTTTAGGTAAAAACAAAAATAAATTAATTATAAACATATAAAGAGTTATTATTTGCATCAATAAAACTCACCTTCTTAACAGCACTTAAGGGACATAAAGGGCCATTACTACCGTTTTCCCGTTCAAAATATTCTAATAAAATTGCGATGAGTTTTTTACGACTATCTTGTACAGTTCGCGCTGAAAGAGCGTTTTAACAAAAACATTTTTAAGCTTAAAGTATCACAACACTATTTATTTAAACTAAAAACTCACTAGTAATACAAAACTGAAGTGTCAAACGAATGACAATGTCAAGAAATAAATAAATAAGTGCGGCTACTTGACATTTTTTACCGCAGAGCTACCACCTGAATCCCCAGCGCAAAATATGTTCATGGTTGGCAACAATGAATTTAAAAATCGCGCCTTCAATTACGTAACTAAAAGTTTAATTGATATCAAATATATCCACGAGTTTTACTTTGTGAACTATACAAAAACAAAAATTCAATATTCGCATAGACAAAGCGCCTATCACCCCCACGGAATGCCAGCTATAGGCTTGATTCATTTCAGTTGATTTCAACAAAATCCGACCGCAGCGCTTCAACGGCAAAAATCAGAAATTATCCGTACCCTGTCCGTACCTATTTCACGCCGCCGCGCCGTCATGTTGATCGCTTTAAAATAATATGGAAATCGTGGTTTTGTCATAATATTTAAGTATTTTAGTTTTTTGCTAGTGCAGTTACTGAGACTATAAAACACTCAGGTACGAAGTTTGTGTGATGTAACGCTGTTTCGAGTAGTAAAAAATAAATGAAAAAGAATTCGAACTAGGCGTCGCCGTTGTGTTGTGATGTGACAATTTCAAATGTTAATAAATTTGCCGAAAAAATGTTAAGCGTCAAGGAGAGCGTAATTAGGGCGTTGTTGGGTGCAATAATATTCAATAATTTAACTTTCCCGGATATTCAACTCTCCCGAAACAACATTTTTTAGCTTCATAGTTTCTCACGCCGATTTGATCAAAAGCAAAACTGGATTCTAGCATTTCGACGAAACAAGTGGGTAAACAAAGTGCTTTTTACATAATCAAAAAATTAAATAGACATATACTATGAGAGGATAAAATATAATTTGCAATATTAATGGTATACTTTTTTTAATGAACTAGTGATCAAATGTTTTATGGACATCTAAAATTATAATTATGTACCTTTAAACAATTTCGTTATATGCTCGCTACCGTAGCTGAACTCATCTAAAAAGTTGTTTTAACTGGAATAATAAATTATAATACAAGTTAGACCTTCTGAAAATATCAAAATAATTACTTTTTTATTTTTATTTTTAGAATTTTCACAAATTATACTTCCTAAAGCCGTGTATTTGTAAGTATTAGTTGTTTACAATATACTCCGATGGTGGCAGCACCGGCGGAGAATGCACCAAGCCTATAGGTAGATAAGAAAAAAATAATTCTAATGCCAACGAAGAGCCAACAAGCGACGAAGAGCTAAGCAATACCCCTAAAGGAAGTAAAAAGCATTATTTATTATTTTTCTTTTCCATTTTTTTTAAGTCTCAAAAAAATTAGATTTTGTTGTATTCTAAATTTCCCTACAAATAGAATATTTTCAAATTTCTGTCCCTTTTTCCCTATTTTGCATTTTTTCAGCAAATTTTTCCCCCAAGTGGGATTTGGATCGCACAGCCCTTTTCGTAGCGATTGATGCGCGCGCGGTTTGCATCCGGTTCATTTAATTAAGTTATTCTTGCATCCTTGTTGAATTTATGTGTCACCGTCATACTGATAAATTGTCTATTCTTAATCTGTGGTTTAGGTGTATAAGAAAAAAAACTAATTATATATGTTAAAAAATCAAATATTTGAAACGCATTGTATAAATCACTTTTAAAAGCTGTTATTTATTAATCATATCTGTAGCTTGAGCTTGAAGATGGAAAACGTGGCATCAATTAAACATTTTTATAGCGCTAAAATACGCGTAAATGAATTGTATGACGTACTAGCTCTAGCTCTCCCCACCGGTCTGGTATCGCTTTTGACAGGCGATGGGGGCTGTATAGGCCCCACCTTCCGCTGTGGAGCCCCCAACTGTCCCTTGGCAGCGGCAGGTCCTCCGTTGCCCATCCCCTCTCCGGATCTAGCACTTAACGCGTCGTAGTCGGTCCCTCTGTAGTTGGCGTCGAAGAACTTTTTGAACCATTGCAGGAACTCGAAGTTGTCCTGAAAACGGCCCTTCACCAGCTTGTCGATCGGTACTATCTAAAAGTGAGGTTATGATTGCGTGCGTGCGATGTACATATGTATTTGTCACGGTAGCGGTAGACGTGATTTTGTATGGGTAGAGAAACATGTGCAAAAAAGGTGGTTTGGTTAGGTTGCCAGAAGTCATACATTCTTATCAGAGGTTAGAAATTTGAGTCATACATGTCAAATATCTAAATGAGGAATTCCATAAGAACAAGGTAATTTTAGTTATTAAATAGTCTTGCATAGTCGGTAAAAATACCATATAATAAAGTTTTATGTTTTTACGGTAAAAAAATTGTAATTGTTTAAAAATAAACATCATCCCTGGCATCACAATACATAATAATTTTTTTAATTTTTCTCTACATGGTATAAAAATGCCTTTCTAATTTAAAAATAAATAATAACAAAAGGTCACCCCTAAAAACAATAAATAAAATAAAACAAAACTTGACAAGATGGTATGATGAGCGACAGTAGGTGTCTACAAGATGCACAGGACAGTCCCAGATGTCCACTGCCTTGCTAAGCCAAATAAATTGATTACCTGTCAAAGAGACATTGTTTTGGTATCTTTATAATTAATTTTAAGCGTTTTACAGCCACGACAGTGTCTCCTGACAGGTAAAACAACCCCCTACCCTGCTTAGTGGCGGGCGCTACCCTCAGCATGGACGGAACATGATGATTTCCATTAGCTTGGTTCGTTCCCGAGCCAAGAGGAACATTCCCTCGAGCTTCAAAGGCGTCGTATTCTCGACCATCATAGTTTGCATCGAAAAATTTTTTAAACCACTGCAAGAACTCAAAATTGTCTTGGAAGCGAGCCTTTATCAGTTTATCAACAGGTATAATCTAGAATTTGTTTTTTTGTTTTTTGATCCTAAATGATTTAAAAAAATCTTCTAATCTAATGTAACTCTAAAAAGCACTTACCTTGTCAACAGCCATTTTTTTGAAAGCAGCTTGAAGAATTTTGAAGTTCTGTATGTACTCGTGCTCCAAGTTTGTTCGAAACTTTACCCTTTTCAGTTGTACGGATCCTAAAATTGATAAAATGTTACTGATTACCTAATCTTGTTTAATCAAAAAATAGAAATAATAGAAATTTTACATTCTAACAACTAGAATTTTATAATGTTTACCTGGAAATAACATATCCATAAACTGACAATAGGCAGCACCTGTACAAAGTTCTTCAATTTTCTTGAAACTGCTTTGCAAGCATTCGTTTACCCAATTCAGCATGTCATGCCTGGACAGGTTTTCTGTTGTTACATTTGTAGAATATACATTAACTGCCATGTCTCTATCTAAATACAGAAAAAAAAAACGATATTAATAAATGATGATACACTGTGATTACAAATCCCTATTGTTTCAGTTAAATGACACGGAACATCTTTTAAGGTGTGTACCACTTAAAAATATTCCAAGAATATACAATATCTCTAAAAACCTAGACCTATTACTTAGGACTTATAAAATACACATAAGCCATCCTACAAACAAACTAAAAAACAAATACCCCCGAGCAAAAAAGTACCGGTTTTTTTCATCACCAATTGATGCGTCAAAATTCGTCGGTACCTATTTTGTGGTACTACCGTTACAAAAATACCAAGGCATCGTTCTAAAAATAGTTACCTAAGGTCAGAAAGCCTACTCGATAAGGCTCGGTATTGTTCTTCTAATTTAGAGACGATTTGATTATCTTTTTCGATAGGAAATTAACAAAAATTTACGGTTTAAATTTTTAGTTGATTTCTATTAAAATGTAGCCATGACATTTGGTACGCAGGTGAGTACGTCAATCAGATTTTACCACGTTTTACAGTTCGAAGACACCTTTAAACATAGCAACAGTACTTATACCAAGTGAAAGAGATTTACCTGGATTTATACACTAGTGTATAGCTGAAATATCATTAAACACATACAACCGGGAGTGGTTCATAAACTCCGAACTTCGTTCACCGGCCGACCGGCCATTTAAATAATCACTAACCCCGCTACCAATCAAAGAGAAAAAATACCTATATTCTATCAAATCTTTTCTCTATTGGCAACAATACATACATAGATAACCATAGCAAACCATAGAATAAATGTATAATTGAACATCAGAGATATAGAGGTAGGAAATGTGGTAATTGGTCAAGGACTGTATCTGTATACTTCTTTGAATAAGAAGACTAGGGAAGGAGCATAT